CTTTATAATGTGCTTTACAATTAATTCAGATATCTGGTCGGATATCTTGACGTTAAATAATTTTGTTATTCTTGTAGTTTTATAGTATTTCCAACTTTAAACTGTCCTAAGGTTCAATTTTATAGCCTTTATCCCCGGTGACCTATAATGCAAAGTACCTGTAAAATTTTACTATTCCAGGGTTTTCTGTTTGTTGAATCTTCTAGCTGATTGAGGTTAGATGTTTCTTTGTTCGGTAGATTTGCATGTAAAATACTTTCCTTTCGGATAGGAAATATATATGTTTTTTCTTTTTTTGCTTGAAGTGTAAATAGGTGTTGCCTGAGTTGCGAGCACTGATATTGAAGTCCAGTAACAACTGTGCCATGGTGCGTGATTGTGTCAGCTGGTCATTAGCACATCATGGTTGTGGATCTTTTATCTTTAATTTCTATGCAGATTCATTTTGTATAAAGATGATGTTACCAGGAGATAGATGTATAATTTCCTTCCATCGTGTATGCTTCTCATGGAATTGATTTGTGCAGTTATCTCTGTTTTCTCTATCCTGATCACAAGATGTTTTCTAGCATTCAGACCCTGAGACTCCTGGTTTTACTTGCCCCTTTAAGTCTGAAGTCAAGATGGCCGCTGAGGAAGGTCTTGATTTGCAATCTCTGAAGGCCCAGTTAAGCCAAACACCTGAAATGTGGAAGCAGGAGATGGCACAGATGGAAACACGAGTGGATGCTTTGCAAGTCAAGCTTCAGGCGGTAAAAGCTTGTTTGCATGGGTCAGAGGAAGATGAAAGGAAGGAACTAGAGGTTCTATGGGAAAGGGTGAAAAGCATAGCAAAATTGTTGACCTACTTAAAATCAAAGGCTATGGTCATGGCTGAACCGCACTTGCATGAATCATTTGGTGTCAAAAATATGGAAGGTGTGGCACTTGTTGACAGAAGTGATAGTCCATTGCCTAGTTGCTCTAGTGATGCTGATCTTTCTTTAAGTGTCAGTTCAGATGGAGAAGATTCATTGAGTGGAACTGCTAAGTGGCAAGATTGCTTTAATGAAAAGGATGTGGCCTATATTGATGAATTACTCAAGTCGGTGCAGATTGTGACTGATTTAATGGAATCTCTTGTTAAGAGGGTTCTTTTGGCTGAATCTGAAATTGCAATAGAAAAGGAGAAGGTTACTTTTGGTCAATTAGAGATTAAGAGGAAGGCTGCTCAAATTGAGAGCATGTCCTTAAAGTTAGCAGAAATGGAGAGGTTTGCTGTGGGTACGAACAGTATTTTGAATGAGATGCGGCAAAGGGTTGAGGATTTGGTGGAGGAGACATCTAGACAGAGGCAAAGAGCTGAGGAAAATGAAGTGGAGCTTTCTCGTGTAAAGCGTGATTTTGAGTCTCTGAAATCGTATGTTAGCAGTCTCATTACAGTGAGAGAAACTCTTCTCTCATCAGAGAAGCAATTTCAGACAATGGAGAAGCTTTTTGAACGGTAATATGCACTGATGTTCTTGACCACTACTTATCTAGTCTGCTTATAGTGTGGTTTGGGTTTTCATTCATCCTGTGCAGGCTAGCAGCCCTGTTCCTCTAGGGGTCACTTTGAAATGGTTTCTCTTCTTTGTCTTCATTTGCTAGGGGTAATGTTATGACAATGTATGATAGTCCTTTATTAACCTATGGTACAGTTCACCACGCTTCATAAGCCAGGGCTGTTCAAATGCATTTTCACCAAGTTTGTTCGGGTATTATCTCATGCTTTTAAATGTCAGATGCGGTCTATCTTCACTACTCGTGTTTCCTTATATTTGCTTCATTTTTGTCTTTGCTGCAAACTTCTTTCTGCCATGTGATCTTTTGCCGGAGTTAAACAAAATTTTGGATGGAGCAGGCTAATGGCTAAAACAACCCAATTGGAGAGCGAGAAAATGCAAAAAGAGGCAGAGGTGAAGAAACTCATGGAAGATAATGTGAGGTTGACTATGCTTCTCGATAAGAAGGAAGCACAATTGATGGCCTTGAACGAACAATGCAAGGTCATGGCTCTCAGTTCGTTGAATATTTAGGTCTGCAGTCTTATCATCTCCATGTCACTGTTCATATTCTTGGGTGAGTTTCTCTGTTACGTGCATACCCTGTCACGTGCAGCAACAAACAAACCAGCTGGATCGATGGTATGAAGTCTTCATTGATTTATGTAGATTGTAAGATTGTGAAGACCAGTAAATTTTCCCTCGAGAGACTTGGAGACTAGTCACTGTATTGTTGGTGGCATGAGCCTGAAAAAGTGTTCATCCGAAAAGGCATTCTATTGGGTGCAGAACATGATTATGATTTAGACTTGTTTAATTTTCTCATGAATGTTCTGCTTATAATATAGGGTTCAATTTCCACAAGCATTGTGATTTGTGCTGAAATTTCTCTGGGAAACTGGCAAGTCTCCGACTTGGAGCTTCTGCAAGGGAGGTCCAAATAGAGTGGTGGGTTGTTTTTCGTGATCTGCTGTTCGACTTTGAATCGAAGTTTAGAAGATGAATCCAGATGGGGGCATTCGATTAATGCTTTTTATTGTCACCCTCAAGAAAGAGCACCGATACTCTTCCTTGACTCTCAACATCTACAAAGAACACCCGCTCTTCATTTTGCGATGGTTTGTGGCACCACGAGATTTCTTTGGCACATTGTTGTTTGGAAAAGATATATTTCACTTGGTGATTCATGTCCATGGGTTGAATTCATTGCAAGATCGTGTCAAATCGAGTCGGTGCGAACTGCAAAGTGCTATGTTATCATACTCGTTTAGAAGAATGACGCAATTGATGCAGTTTACGCCAATAACCGCTTCACGAATTTCATTACATCTAATATTAGCTCGAACTTTTAATTTATTCAATATAGTTCATGAACTTTAAGCTAATATTTAATATGATCCTTGAACTTTTAATTTGTTCGATGTCATCCTTGAATTTTTATATACATGATCTAGATCTCGGGGCGTATGTGAAAATCTTCAATGTAGTCCATAAACTTGCAATTAATCAACAAGGATTAAGCAGTGGCAACAATGTTTTTCATAAATTTGGGATACCGGGATAACAATAAGTTCAAAGATGACAATGAATAAATTAAAAGTTTAGGAATCACATTGCACATTAGATTAAAGTTTAGGGACTAAATTGAACAAATTAAAAGTTCGGGACCAAAATACATATTGGGTCAAAGTTGGGACTATTTGTATCATTTCTCCTTTAAAAGAATGATGCAATTGATGCAGTTTACGCCAATAACCGCTTCACAAAGTATCAAATATTGTAAAAGATTGTTACCTTAATATTCATGTTAATTGGATTCATGAACAGAGATTAAAGATAATTATTACAATATTGAACTATAAAAGTTCTTTCAAAAGTTCTACCATGCGAGTCTTTGCAATCAATTTAGAATTCTGAAAAATTAACTTTTAACAGCCCCATCCTAACAATGCCTTTGTTAGACAACATATGTATCGTGCTGAATATCTGTGATTATCATAAAAGCAATTATAGTATACAAAAGATAGAACAGCGATCCCATCAATTGGAGACGGTAAAATAGTTTTACTGAACATATGATCGCTAGTAAAAAAGTCAATTACGGCTTAATAAGAACTTTCCAAGTAAATGGTCACGAACGTGCTTTGAGTGCATTCGAAAAATTAAATTGTAACAAGCAAACATTAATATTCATTTTTGATATTTGTAGCAATTGACAATCAAATCTTTTTTAGGAACAATGAATGGTTTGGAAAACATTTTCCTAAAAATGATAGCTTATATCGCTCGAAATAATTAGTCAATGAAAAATATTTTAATTACCGAATTTTTGTGAACGATAAAAGTATTTTTCGTTCATTCATAGTTCTAAAACTTGTCACGAAAATATAATTGAGTACTAAATCTTTCAAAAAATGTAATTAAGTCCCAAAACTTATTAAATTGGTGCAGTCAAGTCTTTCTATTAACTCTGTTCAACTTGATTAACGAAAAATGTATATGTAGCTTTTTTTAAATATTTTATCTTTCCTACATGGCTTTTAAAAATGTTTTTACACTCTTACGTGGCATTGATTTTGGCCTAAACCCTACAAAATCTTAATTAAATCAAATTATTTTTTTTGAAAAAAACAAAAAAATAAAGAAAGTTAAAAAGAGGCAAGGGCATGGTCGGCTAGCACTCGCTACCACCGCCCCCACCGTCTCCCGGAAAGAGACCTTTTTTATTTTTTAATATAGTATAATTAAGATTTTGATTAAAAAAATTAAGCAATGTTGTTTTAGTTTTATATTCCATATTTTAGTAAGGTCAAAGCCATGAAGGAGGGTACATATTAAGCCAAGTCAGCATTTTTCGTTATATGAAGTTAACGGAACGTCTCGATTGCACCAGTTGATAAGTTTTAGAATTGGATTGTACCTCTTGTAAGTTTTAGAATTTCATAACTCTTTCATGATAAGTTTTAGGACTTTCAACGCACTTATTAATCTATTATTTTGTTTGCTCTAAAATCTCATATAAATCCATATTTTACAATCTCTAACCATAAATACATGGTGAGGCCAACTGTCAAGATCCCTCCCCATACTCGACCCGACCCGCCCATTGAGCAGGCGTGGAACTTTTGCCGTAGCCTGCTCACTGACCTAAAAAGAACAGCTTTTGTAAGACCGTCGGTGGCGCAAGATGCTCGGAGCCAATGCAATTATTAATGCGATTATCCCAACTGTATTTAGTATTATAAGGCGGGCCAGGATTGGGCACGCCCATGGACCGCCCGACCGTTGATCAAGTCTAATTGTGATCCACATGATAAAGAAGATATAGCCATATTAAAATATATTACTTCTTCAAGACCCTTTTTGGTTTTTAAAATGTCGGCCAAAAAACTAAACTAATGTACTTTTTGGCCCACGTTGACCCGGCAGCCAGTAGGAGCGGTCCCTCCAAAGCGAACAACCAAACGGTATAAATACTCCTCCCAGCTTCGCCGCGCAGAACCCTAGACAAAAGAAAAATCACTTCCGAAGCCATGGGGGCCTCCACCGCCCAGCCTCCGCCGTCCTCCGCCGCCGCGCTCCCGTCGACCGCCGACTCCGTCCAGCTGTCTCCGGCGTCTCAGGTAAACCCCCTCGCTAGCCCCTGGCCGGAGAGCGCGCGCGATCGCCGGTATCTTTTTCTTCTCTCTCCGCTCGATGCCCCCCGCGTGCCGTGGATTGTTAGCCTAGGAGAAGAATCTGTCCGCGCAAATGTTGAATTGATTAGTCTCGTTTCGCGATTCATGCTGCTCTTGCCTTTTGTAATTCTCGCGCGTGAGTTTGTCTGGGGACTGTGTGGTACTCGAGTCCAAGGTTTTGCTCCATGCGTGTATATGGTTAAGAATCTGTTGATTGTGGACAAGGTCGATCAGATTTCGCGGCAAAGTTGTCTTCTTTTGCGCGTCGAGATGTGTACGGCCCGTGAAAGGAGGAATTTTTGAGAATGACAATCCCATTTTATGTGGAAGAGAGAGGCGGGGAGTTTGTATAACTCGATACGTGCTCCCCAAATAACTCCTCCAATTAGCGAGGAGATAAAGGGAACTTAATAAAATATTCCAGGATTTTATAAATGGTAGGCAGTTACAGCGCGTCGAAGATTCTCCTTTTCTTTGTTCGAATTCATGCACGTGTTCGCGATTAGGGAATTTAATGTGTTTCATTGCATTACCATGAGCAGAAAAGGATTGGAAAGCTTGCCGACATGGTTCAGGCAACCCTCGCCAAGTTGGGACCTACCAATGGAATGCCTGCATCCCATTCCCGAAGTAGCATCGAGAAGCAACTTAGCAAGTTATTCCCAACTTTCCAGACTCCCGATCACCCTACCTATGCCTTGGTATTTACGTTTTTCTTTTTTATCTCATTTACTGCTCTTCCACGTGCAATCCGTGGAGCATCCTGCTTGCATGGGTTTTTCTTGCATATTTTTGGTAAACCTGCGCTTTACAATACGTTGATTTGCACGTGCATTTTGTCTAGATGATTCGCAGGGCAATTGAGGAACTAAATGAGGAAGGGGGATCTAGTGAGGAATCGATATCTAAATTCATTAAGGAAGAATATCGGGATTTGCCATGGGGACACGCCAGCTTGTTGAGTCATCATCTAAAGAAGCTCAGTGAATGTGGGGAGATTATTTCTGCTTCTATGAACCATTACACTTTACCATCCGGTGACAACAATTTCTCGGTACCTGGTCGGAGGGATAAAAGTAAGAGAGGTGGCCGGCTAAGGAGCGAGAGAGAAAAGTTACCCAAAAAGAAAGATGCATTCTTCGAGAAAGAGAATGTTGGAGTAGGGGATAGAAGTAAGCAGCAAGGTTTTGTGATTCAAGTTACCAACCCGCCGAAGAAAGCTCTCCGGTCATTTAGGGGGACTGAGGGCAAAGATCAGTCTCAGCATCAACAAGTTCAGCTAAATAGACTACAGGAGCTGGACATGATGAAAGAAGGAAGAATAGGGGTTGAAGCAAATGAAGTACCACATGAAGCACATATGCAGGAATGCGAAAGAATTGAGGTCTCGGAGAAAGCACGAGAGGGAATCGTTCAAGCGATTGAAGAAGAAAAACATGAATGCCAACAATCCAGAGCAGTTCAGCTGAAAGAGAAACATCTTCAACAGCGTGAAGTACATGAAGAATCCAGAGCCCCAGAGCAGGAAAATGAAGTAACTGAAAATCAAGCTCAATCGCGTGAGCAGCATGACAAAGATCGTAGTCAATCAGTTGTTCACAAGGATGAAGCTCAAAAACAAATTGATGCGGTTGTTGTGGAGCAGAATTTACGACATCAAACCCAGGATAACAAAGCCATGGAAGAAGAACATTCAGGACAAGAACTTGATCGGAAATTAGTTGAACAGGATAAAAGAAATGAAAGGCGACTTCAAGTCATCAAGGAGCATGACCTACAAGATCAACAGAATGAGGTCCTTGGCGTAGAACTCCAGATGTTGGAAAAAGAGATAGCAGGGATGGAAGAGCTTACTAATCACCCGAGGCAACCAATTGAATTGGCTGACGAAAATGTTGTCGCGCAAGAAACATTAATTGAATCGAGCGACAGAAGTACTGATGTTTGGTATGCTCTTTCCCCTTTATCTCCACCTTCCGTTCTCGTTTCTTACAGATTGACGAGCACCTGGGTGCTAAAAAGAGAACAAGTGATGAAAGTATAGTAGCAAAAAAGTTAAGTAATTAGTTGATATAAATTACAACTAGCAAAGTTCGATTGATTGAGCATAGTTAGCCCAACAATCATACCGCGGAAGTTTAAGATTACCTTTTTGTCTATTTTGTTGGGATATATGACCATCTTCATTATAACAATGTGCGGACATTTAGGAAATTTTTCGGTAACATTAAGACATTGCAAACCTCCATCCCGTTGCCGTATAATGGCCTGATGATAATCCGATGACTGATTTTTTTTCCCCTTATAAAATAGCACTGTGCAGGAGCAGCTACAGGAGAAACAAGGGGAGATTCTCTCTATTGTGGTCAGACCGGATCCGCTTCCTCATACTCCTACTTTTGAGGAAGTAGGTCCATCACATATTTCCAAGGTAAATATACATGCTGGTCTTTGCTAGAGGCGATGAAGTTTTGCTTGTTTTCCTTTGATCCCTCTGTGCGAACTCTGCTGTTATAATTGCTTATTTGCTTCACAAATAATCAGGAGAAGTGTATAGATTTGCTAAAGCGGAACAAAGAGATTGAGGGTCGGCTCATGGCAATTTTTGAATCTTGGAATGCAATGGAGTCATCAACCCACATTTCTCGGCAGAATCTGTTGGTGGAAGGCAAGAATCATGAAGCTTTAGAGGGGCAAATGTTGACGAGTGACATTGGAGAAATAGAAATTTTCACACAGATGTGCCAGCAAGAAGGGATTCATACTCAAGTGAAGGCACCAATATTCAATATGAAGAAACAAGTGGAGCTTTCTAGTTCCAAGAGGCCACCAGAGGTTGAAGCAGCAGTATTGCACAATCAATCTCTGAGGGAGAAGCAACCAAAGCTCTCTGACAATGACTTACCCAGGTACGTGTAACTATGTTTTCTTGGTAGTTCCAAGTGGGCTACCAAATTTCAAGTAGCTTCTTGAGAAGCAACCTCATGATTTGGCTGTTTGCAGATCACTGGAAGTTGAACTGGAGGCATTAACAACTAATCTTACTGTGGACAAGTCCGCTGGATCTGGTTCAATAACTACTGGTGCCTCTTTTGATGTCCCACTCGTGGATTTAGGGAAGTTTAAGAAGGTCCGAGAAACCGAAATTTCTGATCCTAAATATCATGGTGAAGTTTTTAGTCAGCAGAAGACACCTGAGTCTCAGTCAGATGCTGCCATTAATGCACGAGAGGATGCACAGGCCTATGAGCAAGCACAATTATTAGAACCTTCATATGAAGGAAAACCTTCACAGGTTAGATCGCCATTGGAAGAAGCACCTGCTTTGCCAGATGGACCTGTGGATTTGGAGCACGGTGAGAGAAGCCAAACTTCATACCAGGTAAGCTAAGACAATCACATTTCTAAGTTCTTTAGGCAAGCAAATTCACGTTCATGTCATGCTTCCTGCAGCTAATAAAGTGAATGGAAACGCGGGAATAGTGAAAATGAGTCATCGAGAATACGGTTCATGTGATTTTGAGATGAACTAATTCTCTGTTTCACGTATCTGTTGCAGCTCGATGGGGAGAGGCAGCAAGAACTTTCTGTTCATGGCCATGTGGTGGTGCCAGAAGCAGCCAAATTTATGCCTCCGGGTCAGACTCAACTGCAGAATCTTGGACAACAGCAGCCAGCGAAATTACAGCCTTGGGGACAAGGCTTCTTGAATGTCAAAGGAAATGGCGCTTCTGCCTTTAAGATGAAGTCAATATCACTACAGAGCGAGCAACTGAGTCCTGAACGGCATGAATTCTCTGAATCCCAAACAAGTTCTGTATCTGCCCCTGTGGTTGGACTGCCTGCAGCAGTGCATCATGAGCAGGTGCAGAATGAACTGCGACGAGAAAAATTTCTTCCTCGGGATTTTAAGCTTCCTCCTTCCAAAGCATCCGCACTCCCTTTAATTACTGGGCAAGAGAACGAGGCAAACGAGAAAAGCAGGCCGATCAGGTGCTATGGCCTAGAGTTATTTGACCGTGAAGCAGTTGCTCCTTTCACATTTCTGCGGAAGTCCTTGCAGCCAGAGCAGCAGAAACCCCTCCAATCTGAAAAGATGGCTACAATGGCTAAAATGTTACTTCTTCGGCATAAACAGGAGCAGCCATGCGAGCTTAAGCGAATTAAGAACCATTTGCAGCAAGATGAGCCAAAGCTTCAAATTGAAGAACCGGAATCAAATCATCGGGTGTCCAAAATGAATTTGGAGATTCTGCAAGAGGCAGTGGACATTCCACAGCAACCGCAGCATCGGAAAAGCAGGAGGAACACTAAACTGCAAATGTTACGACAACAATCATCGTCGTACAAGAACAAATTGCGCCCTCGAGCGTCAGAGCCCATTCAAGTCGATCTTGGCTTAGATAGATTACCTGCAGATTTGTTGCCATTAAATCATGAGACTGCTGTCAAGGCTGTTGTGCAACCACAGATTGTGCGACAGGGACAACCACAGCTTAAATGCTGTGGGAGGCCTCCTAAAACCAAGCAGCAGGGACAACCGGAGATTAAACGTCTTGGGAGACCTCCTAAATTAAGATCAGATGAGGATGGAGTTGTCGGGACCTCTCCTTTAGATCAGCATCATCAACAATCATGCGGTCCAGTCCTAGGGAAACCTCACAAACGGAAAGCCGGTGATGCTACATTTGAAGGAACCTTGCCTTCTGATGCTACATACGAAGGAACCTTGCCTTCTTCCGAGCATGCACAGAAGCGGCATCTTGGAAGACCACCTAAAGCCCAACCTGTTTTACATGCAGGACTTTTTGATCTGACAGAAATTGATAAATCGCAGAGGTAATGTTCTGTTATAAGTAGCTGGCAATCTCAGATTTGGCTGTCCTCTTGCCGAATCACATGTAGCTTTCACAGAAGCAACCATGTCCAGGAAAGTCTAATGACTGCCATGGCCACTACTTCGAAGTTAGTGGACGTAGTGCCTCTCTGATGCTTTCGGTTGACAAATTGTGTGCTTTCTGTTGAGGTGCCAAATTGAATACTTGTTGTGGTGCTATGAGATATTTTTATGCATTTAGGCACTAATCCCCAAATAGCTTGATTTGTTACTCACTGAAAAAAGCTTAATATCCTTTTGAAATTATCTGAAGGTAATGGATGGTAATTTTTTTCTATCAGGCTTATATGAAGGATGCAATAGGAATTTCCTTTGTCATTGCTCTCTGCATCTGGACAAGCGTTGCAAATCCTACGTCGAATCTTGACGAGTGATGATGATTCTATAGTTTTTTTTATCTTGTAATGATCTGTAACTTCTGTGCATAATCATATCCACTGATCTTGTGACCGTTTCATCTTGGTCAATTTATGATAATTGTAAATTATATCATGTGGATGTTTTGAGGTTGACTTATATCTTTTATTTCTCCGAAATTGATATTGATTTGATATGATTTGTGCTTAGAAAATCTTGCATAGTCTTTCTCCACCAAAAACATGAGCAATGGGACTGGCAAGATCATAATGTTCTTGTCGGTTAAGATCTGGCTGTTCCTTATGCAGCATACACACTAGTGTGATAACTTATATTTGTTACGAATAAGATCTGTGAAAGTGACATGATTTTCATGTTACTTCAGAGTCGAGCTTCCATCTGGTGCTTCGAACCGGCAGGTCGCGGGTGGAGAAAGAATCAAGAAGCCCCCTGAGTTGGTGTGTGCACCTCTACAAGTTCAGGGTGAAGGGGAACTCCCGGTGTAAGGTGCATGTTGTCGTGGACCCAGTCAAGCAACCTCATGGGCGAGGTAGCGGCCAGCGCAGTGGTCACAAAAAGCACCTGTCAGGCATGAGGCTCCACCTCCAGCCAGAAGGTCGATCTCAACGCTTGTTGGAGGACTAGTCGGGTGTAGAGGCCAAGATGCCGCAGGTGGTTGCTAAGGCCTGATAAGAGTGCTTAAAGGGATATTTATATATGTGTGTAATTTGCCTCTTCCATTGCCCTGATTTGTCTTATAAAGTCCGTTGCCTGTGGATGTGCTTTAATTTGGGAGTTTTGCTTTGTAAAGAAAGTATCGGATTAGTCTTCGACATGTTAGCTTTGTGTATCTGTTATTTACCATCCGGACCGAGTTATTCTTTTTTGCTTTTAAGTTGTCATGCTACAATTGGCGGAGAGCGTCCGTGTGGGTGCGTCAATCGGGCACTGTATCGACATATGTGGCAGTGGCACCACAAAGGCACAGTTTAGGAAGGGTCTCTGTATCTCTGTTACTGTTTTAGTTTAGAAGATGGAATGTTTCAGTCAAGTGTCTCTGTATCTCTGTTATTGTTTTAGCTCAGAAGATCGAATGTTTCAGTCGAGGAAATTGCTTTGATTGTATGAAACAAGCAAGTTCGGATGAATTGATTGTCAAACAAGAGAAAAAAGAAAGTCATATGAACCAATTACAATTATTATTGCTCTTAGTATCTTTACCCTCATATTCCAATGACAAGAATCAACTGTGACTTTTTAACGTTCTTCTAATTGAAGTTGTGTTCTAGCTTAAAAAGTTGAAAGGCAACTGAAAAATCAGGAGAGAGATGATTGTGTTTCCAGTTCTTGGTCGAGCAGGAGTCACGATCGGGCCTAAGAGAAGCCCAAAAGGCAAAAGCCCGAAAAAGAAAGCACGAGAAAACGACGTCGCTGCTTCTTCAGAAACCTATATAAACCAGCCCTTACTTCTTCGTTTTCTTGATTTCCCAGCCTCGCATTCCCGCCCATCACCAAGCGATTTTGGAGGAGTCCTCCGAAGCGAACGACCAACCAGTTTCGGCGGTGCAGAGCCCCTTACATGGGTGCCTCCACCGTCCAACCGCCGCCATCCTCCACGCCGGCTCCTCCGTCCTTGTCTCAGGTAACCATCACTCGCTCGCCCCCGGTTGGAGAATGCATTCGTGGGTTTTTCTTTTCTCTCTCAAGTTTGATACCTTGTCGTAAATCGTCCATCTAGGAGAAGAATCTTTGGCCAGAGAGTGCGTTTACGGTTTTCTTTTTGGTCTCTCAGTTTGATAGCGTGTCGTGGATCGTCCGTCCAGGAGAAGAATCTGTTTGTTCGGGCAATGTTGAGTTATTAGTCTTTGTTTCGTGATTTCGCTGGTCTTGGCTTTCCTAATTCGCGCGCGTAAGTTTGTCGGGCACTGTGTGGTAGTTGAGTACAAGATTTTAGAACCCAGTTTTGCTCCATCTGTGTAATGCTAATGCATGTGCTGGTTAAGAATCTATAGATCGATGACCTGAGTAAGTCGTTTGTCTCGAGCTCCAATTTCGAGACAAAGTTGTCTTCTTTTGTGCATTGGATCGTGTATGCCCGTGAAGGGGAACTTTTTGAGGATGACAATCCAATTTTATACCGAATAACTTCTCCAATTAGCAAGGTGATAATAGGAAACTTCGGGATTTTATAAATGGCAGGCAGCTTCTAGGAGTTGCGCACGTTGAAGATTCTCCGTTTTTTTCCTTCAAATTCATGCATGTGTTTGCACTTAGGGAATTTAATGTGTTTCATTGCATTACCATGAGCAGAAGAGGATTGGAAAGCTTGCAGATGTAGTTCTGGCAAACCTCGCCAAGTTGGGCCCTACCAATGGAACACCTGCATCCCATCCCAAAACAGCATCGAGAAGCGACTCAGCATGCTATTCCCAACGTTCCAGACTCCCTATCACCCTGCCTATGCCTTGGTATTAACCTTTTTTTTTCCTCATTTACTGCTCTTCCACGTGCAATCCTCCCAAATTTGGAGCACCCTATTTCTTGCATATTTTTGGTAAACTTGCGTTTTACAAGATGCTGATTTGCACGTGCATTTTGTCTAGATGATTCGCAGGGCAATTGAGGAACTAAATGAGGAAGGGGGATCTAGTGAGGAATTGATGTCTAACTTCATTAAAGCAGAATATCAGGATTTGCGATGGGGACACACCAGCTTGTTGAGTCATCATCTAAAGAAGCTCAGTGAATGTGGGGATATTATTTCTGCTTCTGCGAACCGTTACACTTTACCATTTGGTGACAACAATTTCTCGGTACCTGGTCGGAAGGATAAAAGTAAGAGAGGGGGCCGGCTAAGGAGTGAGAGAGAAAAGTTATATAAAAAGAAAGATTCATTGTCTGAGAAAGATAATGTTGGAGTAGGGGATAGAAATAAGCAGCAAGGTTTAGTGATTGAAGTTACCAATCCGCCGAAGAAAGCTCTTCCGTCATTTAGGGGGACTGAGGGCAAAGATCAATCACAGCATCAACAAGTTCAGCTAAATAGACTACAGGAGCTGGATGTGATGAAAGAAGGAAGAATAGGGGTTGAAGCAAATGAAGTACTACATGAAGCACATATGCAGGAATGCGAAAGAATTGAGGTCTCGGAGAAAGCACGAGAGGGAATCATTCAAGCGATTGAAGAAGAAAAACAAGAGTGCCAACAATCCAGAGTAGTTCAGCTGAAAGAGGAATGTCCTCAACAGCATGAAATAATTGAAGAATCTGGACCCACAGAGCAGGAAAATGAAGTAACTGAAAATCAAGCTCGATCGCGTGAGCAGCATGACAAAGATCATATTCAATCAATTGTTCTTCACAATGATGAAGCTCAAAAACAAATTGATGTGGTTGTTGTGGAGCAGAATCCACGACATCAAACCCAGGATAACGAAGCCATGGAAGAAGAACATGCAAGAGAAGACCTTGATGGGAAATTAGTTGAACAGGATAAAGGAAATAAAGGGCAAGTTGAAGTCATCAAGGAGCATGATGTACAAGATCAACAGTATGAGAATCTTGGCGTACAACTCCAGATGTTGGAAGAAGAAATAGCAGGGATGGAAGAGCTAACTAATCACCCGAGGCAACAAATTGAATTGGCTGACGAAAATGTTGTCGTGCAAGAAACATTAATTGAATCAAGGAACAGAAGTACTGATGCTTGGTATGCTCTTTCCCCTTTATCTCCTCCTTCCATTCTCGTTTCTTGCAGATTGACAAGCACTCGGGTGCTAATAAGAGAACAAATGATGAAAGTACGGTAGCAAAATAGTCAAGTAATTGGTTGGTATAAATCACAACTAGCAAAGTTCGATTGATTGAGCATAATTAGTCTTACGATTGTACAGAAGAAGTTTAAGATTACCGTTTTGTCTATTTTGTCGGGATATTAAGGTTACCATTTTGTCTATTTTGTCGGGATATTTTACAATCTTCATCTTAACAATGTGCGGACATTTAGGAAATTTTTTGGTAACATTTAGAAGACACTGTAAACTTCCATCCCGTGACCGTATAATGGCCTGATGATTATCCAATGACTGATGTTTTTCGCCTCATAAAATAGCACGGTGCAGGAGCAGCTATGTGAAAAACAAGGGGAGATTCTCTCTATTGTGGTCAGACCGGATCTGCTTCCTAGTACTCTTACCCTTAAGGAAGTAGGTCCATCACATATTTCCAAGGTAAATATGCATGCTGATCTTTGCTGAATGTGATGAAGATTAGCTTGTTTTCCTTTGACCCCTCTGTGTGAACTCTGCTGTTATTATTGCATCTTTGCTTCATTCATAATCAGGAGAAGTGCATAGAACTGCTAAAGCGGAACAAAGAGATTGAGGGTCAGCTCATGGCAATTTTTGAATCTTGGAATGCAATGGAGTCATCAACCCACATGCCTCAGCAGAATCTGTTGGTGGGAGGCAAGGATGATGAAGCTTTAGAGGGGCAAACGTTGAGAAGTGACATTGGAGAAATAGAATTTCCCTCACAGATGTGCCAACAAGAATGGATTCATACTCAAGTGAAGGCACCAATATTCAATGTGAAGAAACAAGCGGAGCTTTCTACTTCCAAGAGGCCCCCAGAGGTTAAAGCAGCAGTATTGCACAATCAATCTCTGAGGGAGACGCAACCAAAGCTTTCTGCCCATGACTTATCCAAGCATGTGTAACTACTTTTTCTTGGTACTTCCAAATGTGCTACCAAATTTCGAGCAGCTTCTTGAGAAGCAACCACATGATTTGGCTGTTTACAGATCACTGGAAATTGAACCGGAGGCACTAACAACTAACATTACTGTGGACAAGTCCACTGGATCGGGATCAATAATTACTGGTGCCTCTTTTGATGTGCCACTTGTGGATTTAGGGAAGTTTAAGAAGGTCCAAGAGACCGAAGTTTCTGCTCCAAAATATCATGCTGAAATTTTTAGTCAGCAGAAGCCACTTGAGTCTCAGTCAGATGCTGCCATTTATGCACGAGAGGATGCACAGGTCTATGAGCAAGCACAATTAGAACCTTCATATGAAGGAAAAACTTCACAGGTTAGATCACCATTCAAAGAAGCACCTGCTTTGCCGGATGGACCTGTGGATTTGGAGCATGGTGAGAGAAGCCAAATGTCATACCAGGTAAAACTATGACAATCACATTTCTAATTTCTTCAGGCAAGCAATTTCATATTCATATCTTGCTTCCTGCAGCTAATAAATTGAATGGAAATGCGGGAAGAGGGAAAATCAGTCATCAAGAATAAGGTTCACGTGATTTTGAGATGAACTAATTCTCTGTTTCGCGTATCTGTTGCAGCTCAATGGGGAGAGGCAGCAAGAACTTTCCATTCAAGGTCATTCGGTGGTGCTAGAAGCAGCTAAATTTATGCCTCCGTGTCAGACTCAACCGCAGAATCTTGGACAACAACAGCAAGAGAAACTCCAGCCTTGGGGCTGAGGCTTCTTGAATGTTAAAGGAAATGGTGCTTCTGCCTTTAGGATGATATCAATATCACCACAGAGCAAGCAACTGAGTCCTGAACGGCATAAATTCTCTGAATCCCAAACAAGTTCTGTATCTGCATCTGCGGTTGGACTGGCTGCAGCAGTGCATCATGAGCAGGTGCAGAATGAACTGCGACAGGAAGAATTACTTCCTCGGGATTGTAAGCTTCCTCCTTTCGAAGCATCTGCCCTCCCTTTAATTAATGAGCAAGAGAACGAGGCAAACAATAAAAGCAAGCCGATCAAGTGCTTTGGCCTAAATTAAGATCTGATGAACATGGAGTTGTCAGGACGTCTCCTTTTGATCAGCATCATGAACAATCGTGTGGTCCAGTCCAAGGGAGATCTCAAAAATGAAAGCCGGTGATACTATGAATGAAGGAACCCTGCCTTCTTGTGAGCATGCACAGAAGCGGCATCTTGGAAGACCTCCTAAAGCAAAACCTGTTTTAAATCGCAGAGGTAATGTTCTGGTATGTTTTAATGTTGTGTACTTTCATTTGCTTGCTTGGCCTGGCTATTTTAGATGTTTGTGATTGTGGTTTTGAGTAGCTGGCAATCTAAGATTTGGCTGTCCTCTTGCCGAATCACGTGTAGCTTTCACAGAAGCAATCATGTCCAGGAAAGTCTATTGACTGCCATGGCCACTACTTCAAAGTTAGTGGACGTAGTGCCTCTCTGATGCTTTCAGTTGACTAATTGTGTGCTTTCTGTTGAGGCGCTAAATCAAATGCTTGTTGTGGCACTATGAGATCTCTTTATACATTAGGCACTAATAACCAAATAGCTTAATTTGTTACTCACTGAAAGAAGCTTAATTCTTGTTGAAATTATCAAAAGGTACTGGATGGTAATTTTTTGTTTATCAGGCTTATATGAAGGATGCAATAGAAATTTCATTTGTCATTGCTCTTTGCATCTGGACAAGCGATGCAGATCCTACGATCGAATATTGGCGAGTGATGCAGATTCTATAGGTTTTTATCCTGTAATTACGAGTGGTAACATGTGTGTTTAATCATATCCACCGATCTTGTGACCGTTTTGTTTGAATCAATTCATGGTTTCTGTAAACCATGTCATGTGGATGTTTTCAGGTCGACTTCTTTCTTTTAATTCTCAGAAGTTGAAATTGATTTGACATGATTTGTGCTTAGAAAATCTCACGTAGTCTTTATCCACTAAAAACATGAGCAATGGGACTGACAAGATCATACTGTTCTTGTTTGTTGAGATCTGGCTGTTCCTTCCGCAGCTTACACACTAGGGTGACAATTTATATTTGCTACAAATAAAATTTGTGAAAGTGATGTGAATTTCAAGTTATTTCAGAGTCAACCTCCGTCAGGTGCTATGAATGGGCAGGTCACGGGTGGCAAAAGAACCGAGAAGCTCCTTCCTGAGCTGGCGTGAACACCTCCACAAATTCAGGGTGAAGGGGAACTCGCGGCTTAATGTGCATGGTGTCGAGGACAAGGTCGAGCAACCTCATGGACTTGGTAGCGGCCAGCGCAGTGGTCACCAAAAGCACCGGTCAGGCAAGAGGCTCCATCTCCAGCCAGAAGGTCGATCTAAACGCGTCTAGGAGGGCTAGTTGAGCACAAAATACGTGATGCTGCAGCTGCAGCTAAGGCTTGATCAGAGTGCTTAAAGGAATGTGTGTACAGATGCGTGTGATTTGCCTTTTCCATTGCACTGGTTGGTCTTATAAAGTCTGGAGCTTGCGGATGCACTTTTAGTTGGGAGTTTAGCTGTGTATGGAAGTGTATAGGATTAGTCTTCCACATGTGTATGCTGTCATTTACCATCAGGACTGAGATTACTCTTGTTTGCTTTTAAGTTGTTCTGCTATATTGGCGGAGAGCATCGGTGGGCGCGGCACTCGGCACTGTATCGATCTTTCCGGCAGTGACACCGCAAACTTGCGGTCCAAAACATACTATTGTAGTTGGATAAATTATACGAGGGGTCTCTGTATATCTGTCTTCGTTTTAGCTTAGCAATATTGTGAGTGATGAAATTCCCTAATTGTATAAGCCAAGCAAGTTAGACGACTTGATTGTAAAAATGAAAAAAAAACAAGAGTCCTACATTTTACGTAAGTCGGGGAACACCCGATATAGAAATGCCGATTTCACACTTAGGCTAATAACAACGGCGGCGTGATGTGATGGTTTTTCGGAATTTCGAAACCGACGTTTGGAAAGTACATAGATACGAACCGATCACGATCGTTACTGCTTATATACTCATGTTTCAATGAAAAGTATCAAATGTGGCTTTCAACATTCATCTAATCTTTTTTTATTATCTTGAAAGTAATGAAAAAAAGGAAACTCAAGAATTAGAAGAGAAGATTTATGATTCCAGTTCTTGCGACCCACCTTTGAATTGCATAAGGAACCAGAAAACGAAAATTCGGCTTCCGAAGCAAAGGGTTTAAACGGGCCATCTTGGGCCTGAGCTCCGGAAAATCTTAGGCCCGAACGATGGAGCAGGGCTCAAGATCGGGCCCAAAAGCCCCATGAGAAGGCCCGCGAAGAAGGCCCAAAAATAGCAACTCGGGCCTCCACAAGCCCAAACGCAAAAGCCCGGGAAAAGGAAGGAGACGCAAAAACGACGTCGCTGCTGCTCCCCAACCCCCCTCAACCCCTCAGAAACCCTAGTATATAAACCGAAGCCTTCACTTCATCTTCTCCATTTCTCACAGCCTCGCGCGTACCCCCCGCACAACCACCACCGGAACCCTAGGATCCGAGGAGAGATGGGTCGCGTGATCCGGGCGCAGCGTAAGGGTGCCGGCTCCGTCTTCAAGTCCCACACCCACCACCGGAAGGGCCCGGCCAGGTTCCGGAGCCTCGACTTCGGGGAGCGCAACGGGTACCTCAAGGGGGTCGTCACCGAGATCGTCCACGACCCCGGCCGCGGCGCCCCGCTCGCCCGCGTCGCCTTCCGCCACCCCTTCCGCTACAAGAAGCAGAAGGAGCTCTTCGTCGCCGCCGAGGGCATGTACACCGGCCAGTTCCTGTACTGCGGCAAGAAGGCCACCCTGGTGGTCGGCAACGTCCTGCCCCTCCGGTCCATCCCCGAGGGTGCCGTCGTCTGCAACGTCGAGCACCACGTCGGGGACCGCGGGGTCTTCGCGAGGGCCTCCGGGGACTACGCGATTGTGATCAGCCACAATCCCGACAATGACACCTCTAGGTACTTCCTTTGTTCTGGAGAACCTGGGGATTTTATTTTAGTAGTTTTAAATTTGTCTGTGGGTTGTTTAGGCGTGCTTCGTCAATGGTGGTGTGTTCTGGGCATGTTATGGAGTCGAAATCTTGTGAAATTCATTTGGCTGTGTATGGTGATGGTGGTGGGTTCATTTCTCATTGAGATTCGAGAATATCGATTGCAATTGGCTTTGCCTGTTGTCGGTCAGCTCGTTTTGATGTTGCGTACGTATGTCTTCTGCGTTTACTTGCTGGGTTCTGGCCATTTTGGTGGCTTTCGAGTTTTAGTCATGGTTTCGAGGGTTTCGAGCTTGGTTTGTCCTTTGCTTCGTGCTGGTTATGCTTGCATTAGTTTCTGAGTTCGTCACTGTAAAGCCACTAAGTTAGAGGTCTCAGTACTGCTCTGGTGCAACATGTGGTGGTGCCATGCTATTTATGGTATTTATCACAGAGACCCGACATCACCGTATGCGATAGAGATTAGATTTCCAAATTGCTTAATTTGTTGTTGTAGTTATCTGAAGAGCTCAGGCCACTTGAATGCTTTGATATGAATTTCTTGATGCCGCTGGTGTTGTTTTGTCTTGTATTTGTGACTGAAACTTTTGTTCTTCATTGTATCTGCTGATTGGTTATGCGACCGTTGTGGCTCATTTTGTTTGCATGTCTTCGCTAATCAAATCTTTCAGATGTTTGAGCATTAAATTAATTTGAGAAACTTGTTGGTCCACTATCATGAGCTTGATCTGCAGAACTAAACCCATACTTGGGTTTGAATATATTACTGTTGGCTGTCTTGATCCACAATTATGCAAGTGGATTGATCTGGCTGTCTTGATCCACAATGATTTGTGCTCACAAAATCCGGTGTGCCCTTCTTCCACTAAGTACATTGGCAATAGAACTAATAAAACTACAATGTTCTTGTTAATTCATATTTTGCTACTCTGCAACATATTCACCAGAGTGCCAAACTGAGTTCAATACGATTTTAAACTGTGAAATGACCTGATATCCTGTGTTACTTCAGAATCAAGCTTCCATCTGGGTCGAAGAAAATTGTGCCAAGCGGCTGCCGAGCAATGATCGGGCAGGTTGCTGGTGGAGGCAGAACTGAGAAGCCCCTTCTCAAGGCAGGCAATGCTTACCACAAGTTCAGAGTGAAGAGGAACTGCTGGCCGAAGGTGCGTGGTGTGGCCATGAACCCCGTTGAGCATCCTCACGGAGGAGGTAACCACCAGCACATTGGTCACGCGAGCACAGTCAGGCGTGACGCTCCACCCGGCCAGAAGGTTGGTCTCATTGCCGCCCGGAGGACCGGTCGGCTCAGAGGACAAGCCGCCGCAACTGCTGCCAAGGCTGATAAGAGTACTTGAAGAGATATCTCTGGTCATTTTTATTTGGTTTTCTGTTGGACTCGGTTTTGGGTATTCTACAATTATAATTCTGGGAATTTGCGGATGCATTTTGTAGTTGAAGTTTTGCTCTGGTTTAATGTATCAGCTAGTCTTTTATGTGCTGATTGCCGTCAGATATGGTGTCGCATTGTCGCTCAGTAGTTTTTCTTCCCTTCTCTCTAGGAATATCATATAAAATAACTCTACGTGTACTTTTAAACTAAATCCCGAATATTCCATTCGTGATTAATGACTTCTATTATATCCACATCAAAATATACATGACTTATATTTTTCTCTTAATGGGTTGATTTGGATATGACAATAATCGATTATTTGCAGTAATTCCTCACGTCCTCCATCCATCTGAGCTTGTGGATAAGGGGTGAGCGACTGCAGACACAAGTTGAGGCTAATCAATTCAATTTCCATCTGGACTGAAATACAGGTTTTAAGATCTAATAGGTTTCTTTTTTGTTTTATTTTTAGTTAAGTAAAATGAATTGAAAGCAATAACAAAAATGAAAATTTCCGATTTGTAAATAACAATTCATAAAAAATGAATATGACAAATACAATAAATAATAGAAGTTCAAAATATGTAACATAAAACCTAAATTATAGAACTAGAACGACATTGCAATTTTCACTCTATCAACAACGTAACTTGATATGAATTATAACAAGACACCAATATTATATGTTTGTTTTTAGGAAATGACACTAGAATAGATCTAATGGTCTCAGAAAATTAGTGTGATATCCAACTTTATTGTCACTCTATGTAGCTATTGATATATGAAAACCTTTTATGTAAAGTCTCAATCTAACCCCCTTCTTAGAATTTTATAACTGACTATCAGTAGAGGATTAAATCTCTTCCTAAGAGTAACCCCTATTTCAACTCCAAACGACCTTGTGCACATTGATCCTTGTTGATTGTAAGAAAGATTAGTATAAATCCCTCTATAGATAAACATATTTCAGTTCTTATGAGGCAAAAGTAAAAGGCTATAATTCCTGTTTGAAGCGGTTTTTAATCAAACCGTAAAAAATAGGGGATGATGCAGAAATGCATCATCCACCTATTAGATTTTCATGTTTTTTCTTGAGAATGAAAAAATCTTAAATAAGCATTTTAGATGCTTTTGGGATGCACATCCTACTTGGCCGACCCTAACATATGTAAATTCAAGTAACACTCAATTCTATGAAGGACATAAGTCAACCATTCAATGTTCTAGTCATGACTTCAAGCACTTCCAGATACTCAACCATTCCCATGGCTCTAGGAAACTCCCATGCTTCAAAATCAACAAAGTACAAATAACATATAAACCGACAATGAGAAACTCACTAATGAACATTAGAAGGCAATGGTTGAGATGCTTAGTTTTGACGCCCTAAGCCATGAATTCAAATCCGCCTCAACTTTTGGGAGTCAAAGCCCTAGCTTAAAAACAAAGACTAATTCAAGAAACAAAAATGCCTTGTAGGCAAAATAATAGGCGACAAACCAGTTCCTAGTTCTTAGAAATTTGGAATTGGGAACCAGACTAGGGCGCAATGGAATCTGGAATTGGATCGGTTTCCATCGGTCTAGTTCTTCGGTTCCCAATTCTACTTTGGAACTATGCTCACCTCTAGTGAATAGGGGTTGTAGGCTTTGATTTCTTTTTGCTCGTTGTGGTGGATAAATTTGCATGAAGTCTAAATCTGAAAACTTTTATCTCCCGATCTAAATCTAGATTTGGGAGTTTCTCTCAGGCGTTCGATCTGTGGTGGTTCAACATGTTGTTGTTGTTGTTTTTGTCTTCCTATGGTATGGTGATGGTATTGAAGACGCCGAATTCAGGCGCGCACTACAAGCTATAGTTTATCCAAGGGAAGATCTCAGCATGTGTTCATCATTGACTCTTCTAGTGATCGGCCACTCAATTTTTTTGATGTTGTGACAGCTTTAATCTTTTGGGATGAGAGCGTGCTGTAAGTTGTACTATGTTGTTTTCTGGGGTTTGTTTTGTTTTACAGTTTTTTGGGATTTCTTTTGCTTGGAAGCTTTCTATGTTCCTCTTATGTTTGATTTTGTCAAAGAATTATAGTTCGCTTACATACATTTAAAAAAAATAATTCGTCAGCGCTTTCCATGAGCCAAACCGACGGAGTTAACGAGAAATTTGGTTACACAAATTCGATAAATTTTAGGATTTTATTGCACTTTTGAGATAATTTAGGACTCAAACGCAGGCGTACTTATCTCTATAAGTTAAATATCTAAAGAATTGCCAAAGTGAATTCATCTAGGTTCTAATTTGCATTGGGCTAAATTTCACAAGATTGTATACCATTACCTTGGATTTTCTTCCTTTTATCTTGTCATTTACATATTGCATAATAGATAACGTATAGTATGAGGGGTGAGAGGCTTGGTTTGCTTGTGTTATGACGTATAAATGGATATTTTTTCGTCTCACACCTATGACCTTCAGAGAGAGAGAGAGAGGGAGAAAATGTTGGACGGAGAAAAAGCGTATGCATATCGTTGGTCACAACAAATACTGTTTTCCTACCTCCACTAGTTATTCCAAAAAAATTGAATACTGAAGACTAGCCCTCGCGCACTCTCTACGCATGTACGATTACTTTCGAGTCCTTTGAGAGTGAATGGATAATGGATAAACATATTGCCTCGCGAAGGATTATGTAGGATAAATCGATCGATGAAAGAAGACGTGACATTCTCTTGTTAGAAATAAAGAGATAAACAGATGCCACATATGCTGCTAACCTATCGGGGAAATGAATATGAACAGTCAATTAAGTAAATGGAAAAAGGTTGCGATTTGGGACCAACCATTGCCTTGCTTGATTTCATTTGACAAGACTCATGCAATAAATAAAAACAACTAAATAAGTGGATATTGTGCATTATGAAAGATTGATGTTTGCATCAACTTATTATAGACAAAGCAAAGAGATGAACCTGCAGATGATGGAAGAAGAGCAGTGGAGTGGCAGAAGGTGGATAGTTACAATTTTCGGTTTTGGATAATGTTTTCTGTAGGTGAAAAGCTTAGGTAAAGTGCATTAAGTAAAGTGCACATAGAAATTCAAGACACGCCAAGAAGAGGTCTAGACGGTTTCATCTTTCTTGGAACCAGACATGAGAGGTCTAGACTAGGGGTGTGTAAAATGGACCATCCTAATCGGAAACTGCCCGAACTGGACTAAATCAGCCGGTTGGTCCGGTTCTTGAGAGTATCGGTCCAATTCTCGATTTTTAAAAGTGGAACTGGTGTCCGGACGGTCCAGTTTCCGATTCTATTGTGGGAACTGGACTCAGGAACCGGACCGCCCGGACCGGACCGATATATATCCTAAAGTCACTTGTAGTCCAAAGCAAATAAAAAATATTGCAATTGTCTATATCAAGCGGAACCTCATTTCACATGGAAAAGAGTAAAATTTGCGACTTGTAAATGCCAGCGTACATCGGCTTGACTGCCTTGACCTTCTTCACTACTTGGCATTTTTATTTCTCCCGGTTGTTGGGGGATCAATACTTCTTCGCCTAATTGGCATTCCTTTTGAGCATGCTGATATCATGTATGGTCGTCAAATCTCACCATGTTTGGTTGGGAAATTTCTACATTGACCAGTTCCATTAGATCGGACCTGGCCGGACCGATGGTCCGGTTCGGTTCTCGGTTCTAGGATCGGCCGGTCCAGTTTCCGATTCCTAAGTGGAACCGAACCGTATCAGGAACCGATCACCCCTAGTCTAGACGGCCTCACATTTTGCTGAATTAGACATATACGCAACCTCATTTGTACACATCCAACCGATAAGGGACTCTGATTTTCATGAGTTGGTGTGTGCAAAAATTAGTTGAGAAAGGGATATGAAACCGAGGGTATACTTAAATATTCTTTTCTTTCGCTTTAGATCTTTATTTTACTTGAGAACTAGTTTGGAATGAAGCTTAGTAAAAGTGAGGCGAAACCTGGCTTCCCTTAATGTATAGAAGATATATTATTTATATATTAACATTTTTATTAGCATCAGGCCAAGAAATTGAACATTTAATCAAGAGGCTTCAAAATGTTTAATCGATCTTTTTAGCAAAGATGGAAAAAGCAGCCATGACTTTTATTTCTTACTTTTTATTTTTTGACATTTGAAATTTGACTGATCTAGAAAACTATACATAGGGATATTAAGGTCATTTGCAATTGCTATCGGGCCCTTTTTCATAATTTTTTGGGAATCATATTATGCATACTTTTATTGTGACAGATATTTTCGTTCGAATAACGGAAAAATCAAGGGGAGGTTTAAGTATGCACTTGCTATTTTCTAAAAGGAAAATTCCAAATAAGGACCCAAAGTGCTCTCATTTTCTTAAATAGGGCCCTGAAGTGAACCGTGCGTCAAATAAGGGTCTGAAGTGCCCTCATTTTCTCAAATAAGGGCCCGAAGTGAACCTTATCTCAAATAATGGTCTGAAGTAGTCATCTCAGTCTAAAAAAAGGGCCTCACCTCACTGGAGTCAAGGGCATTTTCATCTTTTAATTTTTTTGATTTTTTTTCCTTTTCAGTTTTTTTCCATAAAAAAAACTCAAAAATGAAAAAAAAGCTAAAGTTAAAAAAAAAAGGGGAGGCCAGCCTCGCCTGTAGCCGCTGCCCCATCGCCGGTGGGGAGGCGGCGATGGCCGGCGAGGTCGCCAGCTAGAGGCGAAGGCTGTTGGCCCTCGCCAGAGCTGGGAGAGGGCGGCAACCCTCTCCCAGATCTAGGCGAGGGTCGCCGCCCTCCCCCAGGTCTGGGGGATGGTTGCTGTTGAGGCGTCGACAACCCTACCGGCCATCGCTGCCACCCCACTAGCGATGGGGTGGCAGCCACAGGTGGGAAGGACTGGCTGCCAGCCTTGCCCCCTGTTTTTCTTTTTCTTTTTTTTTTTAAAAACTTTTTTTTAATTTTAAATCTAATTTAACTAAAATTTGTGTTAAAATTATTTTTGGACGAAAATGCCCTAGGCTAGTCGGAAAATTTGGTTGGCTAGCGAGCCGGCGGGGTGAGGCTTCTATTTGAAACTGTTATAGCCACTTCAGGTCCTTATTTGATAACATAAGTTCACTTCAGCCTCTTA